GTACACCCATCCATGCTTGCTTAAAGCCCTGCAAAAATTCCTCCTGTCTATGCTTTATATGTTGTGAGAAGACATTAGGGTCTACAAACTTGCTACACATTCATGCCCACACAAACAGATTTCTTGGCTCATGCATACTGCATTTAATTGATAATACAAGAGAGTTAGCAAGGCAGAGGAGGGTCGTAATTGGCTACAAAAATTAAGAACAGGAACAATACACTGTGTCAACTCATACTGAGGAAGTATCCTCAATAATTCTTTGGATACTCCAAAGAGAAAACAAATGGTGGCTGTGATTTGTCCTTAAATGAACGAAGTAACCAGCAGCCACACAGCAAAATATCTTTCAGAAAGCCTGCAGGGCTCCATCCTTCTCGCTGAATCTTCTCCCTTGCTCCTGGGAATAGCCCCAAGCCGGAAAAAGAGGGAAAATACCCATGTGGGACTGGTAATAAAAACTTTGGGGACTGAACTGATGCTGTATTCAATTATTTCAGCTGATGGAAGAGACAACATTGTCAGAAAGCCTTTGGCTTTCTCAGCTATGAAGTCACATTTCAAGGAGAAGTTCTGTTGGGAAGAGATGGGCTCCTTCTCTTAAGGAAGAGGAAAGTCATTTTTGGACATAAGATTGCTGTTGTGAGGCTTGGGCTTTAAACTTGACTCACGTGAGACTGGTAGTAAAAGTCCACAGGTAGTATAAAAACAGACCCGTGCAAGGGATAAGCTAGGGCAGTGGGGTTATTCAACAACAAGGCTATAACGAGGAGCAGTGAGAAGAACAATAATCTGCAGAGCATCCTGCAACGCCTGAACATCAAGGCTGAGAGTAAGAGAGAGCCAGCAGGAGAAGATGGAAGCATAAACTTATGATCAAAATTACACATAATAGTGGCATAACAGTGTCTGGCTGAGAAAATTCACAACTGGAATATTAGCGCAGGAAGGCATCACTTGCTCAGGAAAGAGAGGACAACCCTTGCATATCACGGATACATACACTCAGTCTGAGGTCTCATAGCATTCTCCTAAGCAACCTAAAAGACTGTGGGAAGTTACTATTAGCTGGTAAAAACCTAACCGGGATACCATATTCTGAAAACAGTTATCACTTGGCCGCTGTCAAACTGCAGGGGACATGTAAAGACTGTGGTTCCACAAGGGTGTCACAGAGTTCTACATTATTTCATTTATTCGCTACTGTCTTAGAATAGCGAATACACCTTCTAAAACACCAACCTGGAAAGGATAATAATTCTGTTAGAGGACAGAATTCAAAATGTGTTGGGTTTTTTTAGTTGGTTGGTCGTTTTTTTAATCAACTGGATAAATAGACTAATATTGTTGTCAAATGTGTAGAAGTTAGCTAAAAAGAAGGAGGGATGCTTAGGATAAAAGAATGATTAAAAAAGAGGCTTGAATCACAGCCATGGAACTGCAGGTCAGAAGACCTCAGAGGAAAACTTTCTAACAGGAAGATCCAATACACTGACTATTTTTATTTTACACAAAAACTTTAATATTGTTTTCTGTTTTTATACATAAAACAATTTTAAAATCTTTTGATCTAGACAGAGACCAAATCAATTATTTGTAGGGCACTAGCTGTTGATATTTCATTTTACTGTGTGGAACAACATACTAGGCAAAATGGATTTTCAGATTCATCAGCCTCATTAATTTCCAAGTTGACCACAGCTTGCTTACAACATCATATTATTATTTTTAATTGAAATAAAAATAATAAAATAAATATTAATCTAAAAGTTATTTTTTAATTTAAGAAATTAAATTAAATTTGCAAACTTGTTTACACATTCACAGTTATGAGAGGATGGATTAGATCTTCCCTTAATAGTTCCTATTGTTGGGAGTCAAATTGTATGTATTTGATTTTTCAGAGTTATTTGCATTTTTAAATCTGCCTCTAAAATAGTCACTAAAAATAGACTTTAAATGTCAAACACACTTTTAAAGCTTAGAGAGGTGGAAGAGTATGGTCTCCCACTGTAGGAGTGGCTGCACCACTGAACATACAGCAAGCCACTGACTTTCATCGACACCTTCCTTGTTACAGTATCTGAGGATGAATATTACCTGCAGGTTACAGAGACTAATGATAAACTTTCTATTTTATTGCCCTTTCACGCATTTAAATCAAAAGTGTTTCAGAGCACTTGTATCCCAAAAACCTGGATACATTAAGTGAGAAAGCAAGCACTATTTGATCCAGCACCACTGATTTTGTGCCAGGCAACTTCATGCTGCCTCACAGGAAAATGGGCACAAAAACAGACAGCGGAGTACCAGCAGAACCAGGCTGCAGTTGGAGAATTAGCCCCTGGCAACAGCATGGCATCTCTTTGGACAGCCTTCTCAACTGCAGAGCACTACTGGAGCCTCTCTAGCCGCTTATTTTAGGAGCTCTTGATACCTCTCTTCTGGTCAGCAGCAGAGAGATCAAATGATCATTGCCACTGGCATGATCCCATCATCACAGCTAGGAGAGAGGGCATGGCATAGCAGTGTGGGAAGGTGTGAGATCCAGATCTGGCTTCTAGAGAACAAGAGAGGACAATAACCACAACAGTCTTATGAAGATGCACAAGACCTAATGAAGCTACTTAAGGATTTAGGATTTTTAGCCTAAAAGACACTTTCATCTTCTCATTGGCCTAACACCCATCTAACAGAAGGTCATGGCTGACCTCTGGTTCCCACTCAGCTGTGGCAGTACTCCGGTTTCCAGACAGGCAGTAATGTATTACACTGGCCTTTCAGAAGACTTCACATAGCACTGCTGTCACAATCTGGGGACTTCACATAGCACTGCTGTCACAATCTATAGCACTGCCTTTGTGCTCTAACAGCACTGCCCATTATCTCAGTATCAACAGTAACCGTAGTGAAGCTGCATGATCCTGAGCCAGAGTGACAATTCTTTTACAGCTCTTACTAAGCCAAGATGTGGCTGAGCACAATCTATACCCGGGTTACGTTAAGCAAACACTTCAACTGGGAAAAGTGCTGCCTCCATGGTTCTACTCAAGGATCAACTTTCAGCACTTGAGGCCATCTTTCTGAACACTGAAGAAAAGCATCATGAGTGGCCTTGAACGCAAAGGCAGACATAAAGGCAAAGCCTGAACTTCACGTTGCTTCATTTCCATTTGACCAACAAGCTGCAGAGCGCCTCATCTTTCCTCTTACACTGTGGACAAATTTGTTCAGTTCCTGGGATAAAATGCAAGCAGCCTCAGGGTATTTCTAACTCACAGGTCATTTTCCTTGGAGCTGTTCTGAGCAGAAGAGAACAGCTGAGGTGGGCACTCAGATGCATTAGTTTGAAGGAGCAGAAGCAAAAATGCTCCTGAGCCACTATTGCTGTACTGGACCAGGGGAGCATAATTACAACCTCACAGTCAAGTGCATGTGCATACTTTGTATTTTGATTTCTCCTTCCAGTGGCTAACATGTCATAAAAAGAGTACAAAGCACTGGAAATAGAAGTACAGTGTTTCAATCCAAGAGCAGATGCTCCGCACTCACTACAGCTGGATCTCTTTGCAAACGCATACTCAGCACATCATATCTGGCTTCTCACATCCATGAGTGCCTCATCAGATGTCTGTTTCTTTCAGGGCTGTCTTTGTACAAACACCAGTACCATTTAAAATCTTTACCTCCAGTTTAAAAGTAGCATCAAACCATTCCATGACATCAAATAAATAGATTGGTCTTCCTAGCCTACTTCAAAATCCCTGTTACGCTGAACATTTGAGTGCACAAAACTATTTGACATTTGACTAACTCCTTCATACAGTAAGGATGTGCTACTATGAAAGGAGTGTATTTACAATAGCTTTGTGCTTGCAAATGTCACTCAAGCATCATCAGTAGCATAGCAGCAAACCACCTGGTGCCTGCCATAGCATTCTGTTAACAAGTGGATGGAAAGGTTACACTGGGAAGTACGGAGGTAGTAGATTATTTGATTATACTCTCAGTAACTACCTGGGTAAAGACTTGCACTGGCCTTTCAAAGGAAATTTTGTCAAATACAAGAGGCACAATATTTTGGGTGTATTGTCCTTATAGCAGGGATGTGAGACTGACTAGTTTAGAAAACCTCAAAAATAACTGTAGGAATTAGAAATCCCAGCCAGAACACACACACACACACGCACACTTGACAGATTAATGCAAAAAACTTAAAGTGGCTATTCAGCGTGTTTTTACTTTCCAGAGTCTATGGACGACAGAAATGGAAGAGAGGAAAGATAAAAGCTCGGCAAGTTTTAGGCTTTCTAAAATTTGTAACTTGATCATCTGGTCTTTGTCTTAGCTTTGGGCTGTAGTGGGGACTCCTGTTCCAGAACTGAAGCACACGCTCTATAGCCACAACACTTTACAAGTCACATAGCACCTGCATTGCTCAGCATCTTTCAAGACAGATGAGTAAGAGCAGGCTTGCTAAGGACAAAGTAACAGACTTAAGAGTTGTATCACTAACAGAAGGCACTGCAAAGTGACTTAAAAACGGCACAGAGGAGTTTGTCATCTGTTGCTGCTCACTGATTTCCAGATAACTGAGTTCAGTTTGCAAGCAGGAAGAGCATCCCTTCATGAGCAACAGCCAGCTGTTACAGACCAACTCAGCCCGAATGCTCGATTCTCAAAGACAGCTCAGCAATCACCAAGGCCTACAAATTGATAGATTTTTAGAACAGCTCCATATGTCATGCCAAATCTCAGATTCTTTTCATCTTTTGTACCATCACCACTACTAAAGTTTCCATACCCATCATGATCACTGTACAACTTAGCAAGTTTGCTTTGGAGTCACTGGGTGGGTTTTGAGCACATTTAAACTGGCAATGCGAGAGCAGCAAAGACCACCATAATTTCTTCACCATCTCTGGCAGTGCATGGTTCTAGACACTATCCCCTTCAACACCTGGCTCAAGAATCATTGAAATATGAAGTCAATTGCTCACCTTTTGATCCAGACTGTAGGCTAAGATCCACTCCTCCTCCTTGGGGTGGAAGAGCAAGCTCTGGATATAGAAGTTTAGACGGTACTTCTGGTAGGTAGCCCCTTCATCAGAGCTGATAAGGATGCTGCTCTCAATCTCTGGATCACTAAGAAGCATGATCTAAATCAAAAAATGGAGGGAAAAGAGTGTTAATGGAAAAGTGGAACTGAACATCATTTAAAAGTGAGGTCATACAGCACTGATTCCTACTAGATATATTCAGAACATTGCTCAACAGTGTAAACAGCCCATAGGATTTCCCAAATAGGGGTTTTTTTTTTGGTGTTTCACTTCCGTTTTATTTGGGGATTCATTCAATGATTCCTTTTTTTCATTTTAGTTTTATCCAGATAAATTCAGAAAGCCCAGCAAGAATGAAAAATGCTACGTTGATATTGAAGCTGATTTTGGTTGTGTATAGCAACTTCAGACAGCCACACCAGGCTTACATGGTCCCTTTCCAATCTACCACCTCTCTTCCCAAATATGGAATACTCTCTCCAAAAGTACAAAACAGGGCACCCCTGAGATTTAAGGCTTATTATTTAGCAGCTTGCAGAGGTACCAATGAGAGCATCACCTCACTGGAAACACAGAACGCCTACCTGGATCAGCTACTGGCATCTGAAAATAGTCCACGTGTGTGTGTGCAAACATTGATACACGATCTCATATATCATGCTTCCAATTTATACCATAGGAGATATTCATTCACTCAGTGAACACATAATTTTCCCCAAGCACGGGAAAACATATGACCTCAATTTGTACAGGGAGGAAAACACTTCTGAGCCTCTAATTTTAATTAGAAAATTATTACCAATATTTTAAAATGGGTTGATTCCACATTATCAGATGGCATGCTCTACATAAATGTTATCAAGAAAAATGTTGTGGAAACATTAACACCATCTTATTAACATCTGCAGAAAACGACATCACATTAAAGCAAATGCCAGTACCATAAAATAAAGGCAAACAGTGGGAAATAAATTAGAGCTGTGCTAAACACAGCAGGTTATTGATACAGTAGCTGAAACAAATATAGAAACTGCTTTTTTTTTAGATCCAGGAACTGCCTTTTTTAGCTAGCTGCACAATGATCAGCTAGCTGAGATCCACTGCAGTTTTGTTACACTCACATGTCCATGTTAACTTTTCTTATCCAACTTCACAGAGCTCCAACTTCAAGACTACGATAGGGAAACACATTAATTTTGACAGGAAAAATCAGTTACAAGGAATGGTAAGACCCTTGGTATGTTAGACCTTGATCAAGCAAAAAATTTCAGCGCTTGTTTCATCTTAAGCACCTCGTTAACTCCATGAAGTCACCAAGGGAAAGTGAATATAATGCAAATGGTTTCTGATCCTTTCCATTAAGAAATGAAAAGGGCCTTTAAAACTAGAACTGAATGTCGTCCTAGGGTGAAACCACCTGTATGAATCCAGCTTGAGCTCAGAGCTCCTTTAACATCCCTCACATACACCGCTTACCAGCCTCATAAAGCAATCTCCACCTGTTCCCATAGAAAGCCACGCCACAAGTCCTGAAGAAGTGCACTTGCATTGTGCTGTGGTGCACAGCATGGGAAATGAGAAACATCCCCACAGGCAACTGACTCCCTGGGAATTAGTCTTGAGAATAGGTCCCAATGGCTTCCACCTAGAAGGGAGCTTTGGTACATTTCTTCTTTCTAATCAGATCAAAATATGTATTTCATTTTGCTCCAAACAAGAAAGGTTTCCCCGCTATTTCAAGATATTTTTTCTGTCACTGGTGACTTAGACTTCAAAGACATTTTGTCCCCCAAGTACACCCCTGTTCATCTAAAGCATATTGCCTGTGCCAGACAGAACTGTAACATACTTTAGTAAAAATTGCTTGCATCTGTAGAATGGAAGAAGGATGTAAGATTGCCAATATAACAAGATTTTCCAGAGAGATCTTACATTTAAAAAGAAGGATACTTCAGGAATAAAAAGATTTTCCACCTGATGTCGCAGAAGGTTACAAAGTTAATAATGCTGTATATTAAAAGGTCACTGTTAGAGTCCTGCCCTCAGATAAGGAGCACAAGACAGCTAACAGTTGCATAGACTTGATGTGGTACACACGCAAAACATCCACTCTGCCCTTTCACACACGATCTGCAACACTTCGGTGGATAGTTCAAGAAATGGGTCAGATGAGATGGAAAAGGTGATGTTTCCACCAGATGGTTCACAAAGCCAGGCAATTTGTTCCTCTGGAAGCATAACAGTGGTTGCAAGATCAAATAATAAAACCATCAAGCTAGGAAAATTAACAGCTAGAGGGAAAGCTGGAAGAGTCTAACAACAGTCATACCCTGTTGTAAGTGCCATCGCATGAGTCACCCACCACCCTTCACCCAGTTCTGATATCAACTCTCCATTATTCAAATGGAGAAAAGAACACACCCAACGTCTCTGTTGTCATCCATCCTCCCAGGCAAGGCTGATCCTACACAAAGCAGGATGGAAGAAACAGGAGGCTCAATGGGAGTGAAAAACAAAAGGCCACCACCAGTCATGCAGCTAGGACTGGTCCACAGTTTTGTTATGTGGCAAGCAGGAAAAGAAGAGTGAGAGACTCTGGGCTTTTCTTTTATTTATTTATTGTCTTTTTTCTGCTGGAAGCTATGGGGGAAGGGGACAACTTTTGGTAGGGGAAATAGCAGAACATTTGTCAAAGGCCTGACACTGCCACTTCTCATTATGGGACCAGGGCAAAGGTTCCACCTCAGTAGTGATTTAGATTAATCACTTTTCATTAAGAACCAATAAACAAACTCCAGTCAGAATGAGCATTTCTGCCAGCACCCTGTGTTGCCATTTATAATTGCCACAAAGAACAGCAAAGGAGCACCAGAGAGTTGTCAAACGTAATTTATAGGTTTTTAAGATCTAATCATTTTCTATAATATTAAATTAAATGGCAGCCTTTATTAAAAAGGAAATTACATTTCACCTTTCTACATTCTAGAATATACACACACACACATAGAATATTATTTTCATTTGCTGCCTTCTCTAGTTTAAGTGGAGAGGGGAAGAGGAGTCAGGATTGATTACTGCTAAGGGTAAGTCCTTGAAGACATACTCAAGATGAGGTGGTTTATACTACATAGTTTTTCCTCTGGATGCTATAGCCTGACCTCCAAAATTCAGTCGACAATGAATGGCAAGCACCAGACAAAACAAACCAGGCTGAAAATCAGACTGAACTTCAGGTAGCTCCTTAGCAGATGAATGCAGAGGAAGAGAGCTGCCTGGTACGTGGTGTATCTCCTTTAAAGCAGGAGCTCTGGGGACAATGATGACACAGAGAGAGCTGTTCTGAATGAACTCCAGTTCAGCAGAACACCAGACACCAGCCGGGGAAGCACATAGAAGGGAGATGATTTGGAGAGGCCACTTTGCAAGAACAACATAAACTACGATGTACAGACTGAGATCTTTGGCACGTGATCAGGAAACACATCCAGCTCTGAACACCTCAAGGGGATTTATCCCAGGAAATAAGCACAGGCTGCAGGCAGAAAGAACAAGGAAGGTAGGTGTCATACCTATACCTGCCGTGGCGTATTTGGTACACAAACCATAGAAGTAGCTAAGAGTCACTCAGATTTGCTGGAGAGAGTATAGGACCCTAAAAGGAGCTCTGAACAAATGCAGAAGTGGGGAGGAAGGAAAGTCACACCACATCACAGCACAAATCCACTAAAACAGCATGCCTTCTGATGGGGCTAATATAATAAAAACTAAGGCAGGATTTGTAACTAAGAATCTGAGTTCCTGCTACCCTGATTAAAATCCCAGGTGCGTCACTGGGTTAATGCAAACACCTTACTCAGTATTGGTTTCACATAGGCTATGTCCAGATGGGTGAGTCCAGATGGTGACACATTCCTCTTCCTCTGCTCCAAGCTAGCCAGGCACAAAGACAACTGTGATCTGGAATATTGAACCACACCCATAATGAGCTAGCACACTTCTCACAGGCACAACACTACAACATGCCCAGGCTCTACTGGCTTGGTAGGGTACAGGTAGCCTGAGCTCATATCTGCCTGAATCTGCCTATTGCAGTTATGCCAAAGACTCCCCTATAGCTTGGCACTCAGTTCTTCTCCCGGCACCCTTCACGGCTCTGCCCCCACTTGAACAGGCCTGCTTGGCACATCACCGCTATCCTTCCTCTTCTGCACCCAAGGCACAAGAACAACCACCCCCACCTGCCCATCATATTACCTGTACCCATAGCATCAGATTCAAAAGCTTTATCACCGCTTTTGCTCCCTGGTTCTGTGTTATCCCGGCACAACAGACATCTGTTTCGTACACAGCTGAATCTTTTAATAAACTATCTCTGGACAAAAAATGAAACAACATGCCACATAAAAGGCACTTTTATTAATATTACTTTTCATTAAATCCTTTTATTTTCCTCAGCCAACATAAATTTTCGCTGTAAATTACCAAAGCACATCTCTCTAAATCAGCACGGAGAAGTTTTATAGGTACAATATCTGTAGCAGTAGTACCACTGAGCTACATTAGCAGGAAGCATCCCAGTAAATGAATAAAGACGACAGGTTTAAAATAAATGTCTTTTGTTCCCAGAAATAAGTAGATAGCATTAAACCATTGTGTACTGCCTTCTGATTTTCCTCTTCATTTTAATGCGCTTTTCATAAGCAGTCCTTTTCAGAGGTCCCAGTCACATTCTCATTCGCCTATATAAAGTGCTATTCTAAAAAGAAATAAACAAAACAGTTAAAAAAAAAAAAAATCCACCTACAAACCACCTAAGGCTCCTTAGCAAAGTATTAGCAATTTGCTCTGTAGCACTGCATTGTCTTCTCCTGCAACTGAAAAGGTAGTTCTGCCACAAACACTGCTGCAAAAACCAGAAACTTTTACAGAATGTTTACAGCTTCATAGTGATTTCCATATTGAATGTGCTCAGCTTACACGTGAAAAGGCTTTTTTTTTTTTTGGCCTCCTCCCACTAGACCCTCAACTCAGAAGCACTTCAGGTCCTTCATAAAAAAAAAAACTTTAGGTCCTTCTTAAAGCCAGGCTACATTTACATC